GGGGGGGGGGGGGGGCCTGGGTCAGTCTTGCTGTTTCAGCTGTTTAGTTCTGCTGCCGGCTCCCCCTGGGTCCGACTGCCCCTGTCTCCTGTCATCTTTGACAGGCAGCCAGGGACAGATAAATATTAATTTCTCAATTTTTTAGGGGCTCTGCAGGCCAGATAGAATGGCCTGGCAGGCTAGATCTGGCCCGTGGGCTGTATTTTGCCCACCCCTGATCTAGCCCCATCTGCCTTATACCAGGACAGTTGTAGTCACTCTCAGCAGCAGACCTTTAGGCACCTCAAAAGATGTTTAAAGCTCCTCTTCACTAGGGAGGACCTGGTGACCTTGGACATCTCTAAAATTATATGGATCTTGGCATTTAATCTCTACTTAAGTCCTTTATTACATCTAGCCCTAAATATTTACATTAAGAAATCTAGATGTCATCGGACTGTGGTTTCAGCTTATTGATCAACTGATATCATGTAAATTAGAAATTAGGTAATTCATACTATATTTCTAATACCTACCATGTATTTCAAAAAGAAAATGTGTTCGATTATATATTTATAGTTTCATGTTTTGCCTTCATTTGGTAATAAAGAACTGATTCCATTACTGCTTGCACTGCTAAGGCCCATCAGTGGTTAGCAGCACAGGCACAAAGTAAAACGCAGCTGATGAGAACTTTCAAATATGGCAAAGAACGTCACTTAGATGACTGAATGCACTTCTACAACTTACAGATAGACAAAAACCAGTGGGAATTTTGCATGTGGTGCAGATACAAGTAAAGCTGCAGTATGACCCAAGGCTGAGCAAATATATAAATTTTAAAATAGAACTAAGAAGTGTTCCTTACTGCTGGCTGCAAGGTGTTAAAAGAACAATCTGATGAAACTCTCCCCAGCACCACAAAGAATCTCCCACTCCCTCAAACAATGTTACTTCCATCCCAAATCAATAAAAAACAGAAACCTGATAATAAAAAACAATACCTGACAATAATATGTGAGAATGAAGTAGAAATTAAAGTAACTCACTTTGCAAACCCTTGTTTCTACACCTCTGATTTCAACATCTCTGTTTAGCTATTATTAATTTAGGGTTGGATTGTACTGCGGCTTTGTGCTCTGAATTTCTATTCATCCAGCTGCAAAACTGATTCCTTAGTGAAAAGGAAAGTGCTGCTGGGCAAATGGTGCAATGCTAAATCTCCCCTCCTATCGAACAACTAGCAAATGAGATGCTCTGTTCCAGGCAGGAGGAGATGCAAGTGATGGGCTGGTTGGAGGAGTACCTCCTTATCCCAGCAATAAGAAAATTACATACTGGGTATAATCTCTATAAGGAATTGAGGCTGTCTTCAGATGCAGTTAATAAGGTTTGTTACAGCTAGATCTCATACCAAAATATATATAATAAGCTTCTTGCAGCTCAAACTACAGCACAGAGGCAAGCAGGGAGCAGACCTGGCTGACCTCCTTAGATAAGAGCAGCCAACAGTCCCTGCAAGGGTCTCCAGGGCCTTCTGGCAGCATTAAGCAGACAGGCAGTTGTACTCTAAGCACAGCAGCATTTCTCCTAAATGCTCAGCAGCCCTGTCCCCTGGTAACTGCTGGCTGCCTTTTTTCAGTTTTGTCTCCTGCTGAGCTGAGCACAGATCTGAAGGTAAGGAGCCAGATGCCTGCCGATGAGAGGCAACCTGCAGGACAGAGGGCCATTAAACAGCTAGGAGAGAAGTTTTTGTCTGTACAGGCAGAATGTGATCAGATTCTGACGGAAACGAGAAGAAGGTACGGAGGAAATGAGGGGATTCACTAGAGGAGAAAGTGATGGAGCACTTAAAAGAATCTGGAAAAGAGGTAGAAAGGGAAGCCTTGGGGAAGAAGATGGAACTTCACTTTATCCAGCTATCTAGGGAATAGGGAGCTGCTTGAGGGCTGTGAGCAAGTTCTGGTGCATATTATATCATTTATTTTTTATTGCTTTTGTCTCAACTTAAGAAAAAAGTCAATTTATTACTCATGAGAATATGCATAAAAGTGTCTGTCTGCTAGGTGCTGCACACCCATGCTCCTGCAGTTCCACAAACTGACAAATACTGGGATTATTTAGAGATCTGTCAATAGCAAAATTTCACAGTGCTAGTAACTCTGTCTAGACAGATTCTCTCCAAACCCTCAGGACAGGCTTCTTTTCCCTTTACCTGTAAGGGGAACTCTGTCCTGGAAGACTGTTGACCAGATTAACTCTTAAAACAGCCAGCTGCATCAGAAAGGTTTCTGGTTTATTGGGATACAACCCCTTTGTTTGCAAAGCTCTATGAGGGGTTCATCTGACCAATCACAAAAATGTCAGTCACCTCAGGTTAAATGTTCTAGATCATTTTAGTGACATAAGAACCTGTTTTATTTTCAAGGTTGATTAGGCATTTAAGCCCCTAATTTTTAATGAAAAAATCAGTGGAATTTAGGCTTTCTAAGTTACATTTGAAAATAGAACTTATGATGCTTTTCACAATTTTATCTCATATTCTTACCTAAGCTCTTCCCTTCCTTTCTCCCTTCCCAATTGTTTAATGTTATTACAGAAGAGCAAAGGACAAAAGAATCAGAATTTTCAGACAGAAAAAAAGAAGGGAATAAAAATCTTTCATAAACTTGAAATCAAAACAGGCAATACAGAGCAGAAAACCCTTCAAGTAACCTGCTGGCACTACCAGATGCAAGGGACAAGTTTGGATCCAAACAAGTTTTTCAGGTTTCAGAGAAGACAACCGATCAAGGCAATGAGCCAAGGCTCAAGACAGAATGTCCATCTGGTCTCTCTCCAATGCCTCTGCAATGCATTGAATTACTTGTATATCTATTTCTGCAATATGGCAGCCATGTCCTTTGTTTCTTTTAAGTAGAAAGGAAAGTTGATTGAATGCACCAATTTGATCAAAATAAAGGGCAAAACTGCAAAATGAATTCCAGCAAATAAAAGTACAAAGTGTATAATTTCAAAGGCTGAACAGACTATAAGATGACAAAACTGCTCTTTTAACAGCTTTGGGGCAGTCTTGTGAAAACTTCTGGCACACATGAGCAAGTGATAAAAATACACTGCCTGTGAAAAGGGGTTTAAAAAATACGTACCTTGTCTGTTCTCTTGTGTAATGTTAGTCATACTTCCATCTTCTGCTAAACCTTGCTCCAAGTTTTCCAAGATCTGTATCAAATTTTTTAAACAACTAACATGAGTTTAGAACAGCAATCTGGAATTAAACAGTTTGTATTACATGCAAATTATCCACAGTTGTCATAGTCTATATGAAACCAATATAAACATGAATGTTTCACATGGATACATTTCAGAATCACTGATCGTCCTCAGAGTTACATCAATTACATAATGTGAGAAAGCCTTTGTACTGCAGGTGATGTCTGAGTTCAGGCTTAAGATACTCACAAAGCATTAAAAGACAGCATACACCAGGGGCACATACATTTTGTTAAGTAAAATATCAAATATGTTTCACAAGAGAATTATTATTAGCTTTTGCAAAAATGGAGAAGTGATTCCACATGAGAACTAAGGTATGTGGGTTTTTAAACAAAATGATGCATCACCAAATTCACTAGGGTTATGGTTTTAAACAGAATTTGCTTTTTTGTTCTTAATTAAATAATATTCATAGCTTATGTCTGCTCTCCCCCTGGAAGTTCAGATTTCATGGCTGCTTTTTATTTAGTATTGATTTCAAATACTGTAAACTGCTGTTTGCTGCATTATCTGAAAAATGAATATGTAGATCCACTGGAATTTGTGAGTTACACTAGGTGCCCATGGTTTCATTTGAAATGCAAGTCAAGTCCCATTTTTTCTCTGCTGCCATGTTATTTTTTTTCAAATGTGTCTAGTCCTGAAGATCACCCAGTTCCTGTTGCTCTTCATCCCCTGTTACAGCTTCATTTCTTTGGTTGCTTAAAAAAAGACTGCTTAAAAAAAAAAATCCTTCTTTAATTAGCTGCTGTGTTTAGCTGATCAGCAACATACAATGGGCTCCCTCTCTTGGGAGCTGAGTGCACTGCCTACATGGTGATCTTCAACTCCTGTCAATTTACGGAAAATTATTATTTTAGTTTTATATTGCTGTAGCATTCAAATTGTGCTAGCAGCTGACAAAGACACACAGCATAGTATTTTCAAAAGCCAGAGTCAAACCAGGACTTAGTGCCTAATTCTGACATAAGATGAAATTTAGGTCTGTAAATACAAGACTAATCCCTGCTGCCGTCACTGTTTCTGTTTTTATTCAAAGATTTTTAAAAAATGCAAATCTAAAAAGCACTTAGTGGGTGCATCTACACATGCATTTGATCCGGGATCAGTTAACCTGCAAATAAACACTCCTTGGCAGGCACCTACTCATGCAGGGAAGTGGGAGCAGATTTGCTGCTAATAGCAGCAAACTGGTCCCACTTTCTAGGGCCCTGCAATGGGCCCTGCAGCCAGCAGATGAAGCTCTAGACTCCCCCAGGGGCTGGACCATTGCACGTTGCCCTTGGGGGGTCTGCCTGCTGCTGGGGTGGGGACAAATGTTCCCCTGCCCCAGCAGCAGGGAGCTCCTGGCCTAGTTTCCCAATTGGGGGCAGAGGACTTGGAAAGAGCTGCAGGGGTGGGCAGGTCCCAACTCCCTACCCCATTCACCAGTGGGGCAGCTAGCAGCTAGTTCACTGCTAGATGCTCCACCAGTGGACTGGGGCAGAGGGCTGGGACTTACCCCACTCCTGTAACTCTTGCCAAGCCCTGTGCCTCCATCAGTTGATTGGGGCATGGGGCTGGGACGTGGCCCCCCATTCTGAGATTGCAGGGTGGAAGCTAGGGAGCCTGTTCCCGCTCAGCTCTGTAAGTGCAGACATGTGCAGGGAACAGGTTGGGGAGCTTGTTCCCTGTTCAGCTCTGCAGTCACAGAGCTGAGCAGGCAACAATTGCAATTAGTGAGGTTTACTGCACAGCAAGCATGTACAGTAAACCTTGCACATGCTTACTGCATAGTAAAAACTGCTACGTCACAGTAAAGTATCTCATGTAGATGCACCCAGTGTCATGAATGCTAGTCTAACACACCAACTCTCCCCATTTAAAATCTAAGGATTTTAGATGCTTAACTTGGTTTGGTAATTCTTTCCCTGAAGTCAAGTGCTTAAGTTTTAGGTGCAAGAATGCTGAAAAGTGTTACATCTCTAAGTGACCTAAGAGACTAAGCCCAATTTTCAAAGGGACATAGACTCCTAAATGCCATTTTCAGAAGTCTCCAAAGTGCCTAAGGGATGAATTGATGAAGCCATTTATGCAAGTAAAGATGAAAAGATGTTTAGGATGATATCTTGTATTGAACCAACTACATAGTTGGGATAAAGTTAGACAAGATTTTGAATGCAAGGCATTCTCTCTCAGGTCCCTGCTCACAGGTGCCAGGTACAACATCCTGAGTAACAATGTCTTGCATCTGAAGCTTGTTTACCTTTTTCCCCGATTACATAGTTGGTCCAATAAAAGATATCACCCTAAGAAATCCTTGCCTCTGATAATTTATAAACCATCACAGTTACAACATCATTCTTATACTACCTAAAGATGCAGGAAGACACCAATTGGGATATTCAAAAATTCCTTACTCTTCTTCCTGTCCTGTCCAAACTAATATTATAGTCTCCTCTCTCTCTGACTCCTCTTTGGAGTTACCTAGCTATCACCTCAAGTTCAATAAGGCTACAACAGAATTCTTAAATCAGAAGAATACTAAGTATGCTATAGCATAGTTGCCTTTATCAACCAGAACATGACCTGAATTCTTCTTCTTCTTTAATGGAGTCCCAAATGAACTGTTTCACTGTTTCATTTGGGATCAATACCAAGCTAATTGTCTGTGGTTCCTTGGGTCATTCTTTTTACCTTTTGTAAAAACTGGAACCACATCTGCAGTGCCCTATACTTTGGAATTTCCCAACTTTTCTAAGACTTGCTTAATATTAATGATAGTGGTTCAGAGAGGTGCTTGGGTAGTTATTTTAAACCCCCCTGAGTGTAGATTATCTGAGCTAGTTTAGCTGAAAGCAGAAATGTGGGGCAGAAAATTTTCCAGTGCCTTATTTTTCTGTGGGAAATTTTCCATTTCTAAAAATTCACTATTTCATAAAATCCTTTAGTAACAATGAATGGAGGTCAATACAATATGCAAGCTTGGCAGTTTCAAAGTTGTTATTAAGGATTTTCAGGTGACTATTTCTAGGAAGTATGTGAGAGAACATATATATATATATATATAGTTTCACAGTTTCTAGGGTCAGAAGGGACCTGAGTAGATCATCTAGTCCAACCCCCTGCCACGGCAGGAAAGAGTACTAGGGTCAAACGACCCCAGCAAGGTGTACATCAGTAAAACATACGTTTTACTGATTTGTAAACAGGAGGGTAAATACACTCACATAATAATTTAAATAAAAAATCAAGTTATGAATTCACCTAATTGGCTGTGCAGGTCAAATCAAAACCAAATGAATGCACTGCTAAGCTGGTTTCTAGTTCTCAAAATCTTTTGCTTCTGGAGAATCAGTCAGAAGCACAATTAGTGAAGAAGATGCAGTATGATGATAAGTTGACCTTGCCCATAGACTCATTGGCAAAACCACCCTTTAGCAAAAGAGAATATGGTTCAAGTAGTTTTGAATCAGATTTGCCTCAATCTGATTCTGAAATGGAACTAATAAGTGTGAGTGATTCTACAGACTGTGACAGTGAAACTGGAGGTGCCACAATGACCTCAGTGGAAGAGAGTTAACTCTGTTGAAGTAGGTGAGTGGACAACCATGGCATATCATACACAGTTGTTTGGGTGTGCTAAAATTAGCGTGTGAACAGTTTTCAGTACCTTTGTTTTTTTCCTTAAAATTTAAACAAACAATGTAAAGGGAGTACATGCTATTGTATATTGTTTTTACATTTTTACAAGTATTCCAATAAAAATAAATTCCTTTCCACATAAAGCTTCGAATTTGGTTGAATATAACATTTAAACCACATTAAGTGTACTATATTTAATTTTTTTCTTAATAAAGATATTTCAGTTTGTGGCTATTTGGACATAAAATTAACATGGGGTACTTTTTATTTTGTTTACTAAAGATAAGTCAAATAAACATGCTAAATCAGATCATGCTCTATTTAGGGTACTGGAAACATTTTCAATTCAAAATTTTCTGGAAAACCCACATCTCTGGGTGAAAGCACTTAATTGTAGCATATGTAACCTTTGTTACAGCTGGTAAGCTCTTTCAATTCCAGACATATCCTATAGGTTAGATGCAACTTTTTGCTTTGTTCTATACTAAGGTGCTGCAACAGTGTAGGCAGTGCTGCTACCACTGTGGCCAGGTGGAACTGCACTGAATGTGCCACATTTTTTTTTTTTTTAAATATAAGCATAAAAGTCCATGTGTTCTCTCAGCATATCACTGAATTCTCTCCTCCTTAAGGGAGTGGCTCTCAACTGGGGTGCTGCTGCCAATGCCTCTGTAGCCAGGTGAAACTGAGCCAGGCATCTCCTACAGAGCCAGAAAAAAGAAACTGTGGCAGGAGCTCCTGATCTCGCTACAGCCCTTGCTGGTCAGACAGCACACAGTATCCCCTGGAAACAGGAGCACATGGGGTATATGGAACTGTCCCTGATGCCAGTTTCTGGGACAAGAGTGAGGGGCTGCGATGAGTGAGTGCACTTGCCACAGGTGCTTCTCAATCTGGCTCTACGGGAGGTGCCTGGTGGAGTTCCACCTGGCTGCAGCTGCATTGGCAGCATCACCCCAGCTGACAGCCATCACCCTAAGAATAGGAGAATTCACTGAAATGCTGAGAAAACACATGAATTTTTAAGCTTATATTAAAAAAAAAGTGTTTCTTATGTCAAGCCTTGTTCCCAGTTAGACACAGTTTCCTTTTTTAAAGAATTCACAACCTCTTACTTTATGTAAATCCAAGAGGTGGAGGTGGTAACTGTGATGAGTCTGGGAGATAGGGAAAGGCTGGGGATAGTGGGAAAGCCACAGCTGAAGCAAGGGAACAAGGTGACAGCAGAAAATGTAGAGATACGGATTTATAGTAGTGGGATGAGCAGGGAACATGATGATGAAAAGGAAAAAAAGAGAGCAAAAGAATTGGTGTGAACTCTAGAAGAGCAGGGTAACGAGGGTGGGAAGTGAAACCAGCAGGGGATGCAGAAGAAGCAGGAAGAAGATGGATGCTATGAAGCATAAGAGTGTGGTAAGAACTATGAAGGACTGGCAGATGGTCGTGCATACAAAAGAAGTTTGAAAAATTCTGTGAGGGCAACCTTGTAGAAGATCTTCCTCAGGTAGCATTCCTGGTTAATGGAACTGCTTTGTTCCATTAACCAGGAATAAATTTAATCAAAGGCCGACAGTTTTTCTCGCTAAATTTTTGTCTTCAGGTGAATGCTGATAAGAGTGTCTTTCTTAGTAATGTTAACATTTAAGTAGTTCCAACTAGGTTTTCAAGTGCATGCATGAATGAAACACTTTGTATGCGAAAAGCTTGTGGTGGCAAACAGTGCATTAAACTTCCCCTCAACTCCTCAAAACCAAAAAGCTGAAATTGTGCAAAAAGGCAGAATCTACACACAGACAGAAAGCACAGGATATGCAATTCTGTTGTTTCTGTGATTTTCCCCTCATTATATTCATAACAATATCTGAGTTCAGTAGAAAAACGTACAGGATCTAAAATTCCTACTTGAGGCATATCTACAACTATAAATTTTATGAAATAAAATTTGAGGCTGGGAAAAGTTTGCATTTGACAACCTCCATAAAAATGCATAACACAACCCTAGTGATTCAAGGACAACTTTGTTATGATAGCCTTTAGTTTTCTGTGTAAATTTGGTGCTTATTACAATAATTCTCCCATTGTAATATTCTATAATACTAATCTTTTATGCTCTACAAGGTCTGGGAAGCAGAAGCTATACTACCATGCCATTAAAATGCTGTTCCTCCCCTTTGATATTGACTGTACAGTTTTGGCTTTGTTAGTCCTGGTGCAGTCTTGAAATGGAACTTAGCCATTTAGGTACATTTTATAGGACTGCAGTATTTATCAACTAAATTAGATTTGTTGACTATACTGATTTGTTTGGCCTTACAGACAGCTAACTGCTAATAGTGAAATCTCATAGTTGTGTATGCAACATCAGACCACACCTATAACAATGAGTTCAATTTTGCATATCTGATTATAAAAACCTGCTGACAAGTTTATGATGTTCAGAAAAAGAATAAAAACATTAATAATGGTGGTCTGAAGATACTGCATTATGAGAAGGGTGAAGAGTTTAATGGGCATAGAATAGCTGAAGTGTTGGTTAAGGGCAATTATTTTATAAATAACTGAAAGATGTAAACTTCAAGAAAAGAGAAGAATTTTGGATGATAACAATAGGTCTAAGTTAGGAGTCATGTGCAAATTAAGAAAGGGAAAAAAGAATATGAAGAAAATATTTTTAACAGTTAGAATGAATAAGTATTGGACTGGATTGGTCTCCCAAGGGAAGTGGTGTCAACCCCACATATACTGGCTCATTAAAAAAGTAGAGTAAGTGCTGGAGAGCAACCTGTATTTACAGAGAGGGAGAGAGAGAAAAAACTAAGTAAGCTAATAGGTCTTTTCAAACCCCTAGCTTTTATGATTCCTGGATCATTTGATTTACATAATGGATATTCATATGCACTTCTGTAAATGAGGAGAACTGAACATTTTCAAAACATTCTTTCTCCATTTTAAAGTATTGTAGTAAAACAAAACACTATAGGTTTATGGCTGCAAAGTTTCCCTAACAATTCTCTTATACTCCAAAGGGTTCCCATGGGTAATATGGTGACATTACAAAGAATGCAACATACTAATTTTTAATGTTTTTCCTTGGTCGTGCCACAACTTCCTCTATAAATCTGAAGCCTCAATTATTAGATTTGGCTGACTCCTTCCCAAAACAAAAATATATACTGAAATGACAGGTTTAGTGTTCATTTTTAAGCAGTTTCAAATGCCTTTTAGGCAGTTAAATTACCACCAGTCTAAAATCTTGCACTGTTCTGTTCATACATCTTCCTCTTTATTCTCTCTCCTTCCTCTCTACCTGCTTCTGTAGTTCCTGCTTTACAGCTGTATTTATTTGAAGGAAAGCAAGAAAAGCCATCGAGAGTAAGACTGTTAAATAACTAAAAAATAACATCACCTTTAAAAACAAAATAATGTTAGGGGGGAAGGGAGAAAAGAAGAAATGCTAATTTATAGGGCTGTGAGAAATTTCGACGGGTGTTTCTTTTCGAGGTTGTTTCACTCCGTTTCGAGTTCGAAACAATGAAATCAAAACAAAACAAAAGGCTTCGAAACAGCTTCAAAACAAAATGACAGCACTTGAAAAGTTTCGAAAGTTTCAAAACGTTTCGAAGCAGCCCGGTGGTGGGAGGCAGGGGAGAGCCAGGGCTGTGCTCCGAACAGCTCTGCCAGCCCCATGGAGCTCAGCTCGGCGGCAGGAGAGCGAGTGGCAGAGCCTCTCTGAGCACAGCCCTGGCCAGTGGCTTTCCCTGACTCCCGCCATCAGGCTCAGCTCCGTGGGGTCACGGAGCCTCATGCTGCTGGGCTGTGCTCGCTAGGGCTGCGCTCCGAGCAGCTCTGCCACTGGCTCTCCCAGCACTGGGCTGAACTCCATGGTACTGGAGGAGCTGCTTGGAGCGCATCCTTGGCTCTGAGCGCAGCCTGGTGCCTGGAAGTGGGGGACAGTCAGTGGCGGAGCCGCTTGCAGTGCAGCCCTGGCTCTGAGTACAGCCCTGGCCAGTGTCTCTCCCCAGCTTCTTGCTCCATGGGGCTGTGGAGCCTCCCACTGCCGGGCTGTGGTTGCCACAGCTGTACTCTGAGCAGCTTCTCTACTGGCTTTCCCACTGCTGGGCTGAGCTCTGTGGGGCTGGCTGGCAGAGCTGCTCAGAGTACAGCCTGGTGGTGGGAGGTGGGGAGAGCCAGGGCTGTGCTCCAAGTGGCTCTGCCAGCCGCATGGAGCTCAATCTGCCCTCCCAGTGCTGCCAGATTCCTCCCAGGGGTTCGGGCCCCCAAATCTGCGCGTGGGATGACAGGAGGCTGCTGTTACTGCCTGGGGCCAGCAGCAGCAGCAGTTTTCCCAGTGCTGGGTGCGGGCTGCACCGAGCACCAGTCCCAGATGGCAGCCTCCTGTCATCCCACGTGCAGATCCAGGGGCCTGCACCCCCGGGAGGAGTCCAGCACAGGCCCACAGCCCTCCTGAGGGTGCGGGGCCCCGGATCTGCATGGAGGATGACAGGAGGCTGCCGTTGCTGGCAAGTGACATGAGTTTTGCTTTTAGCAGTTTGAGGTGCAGTTTCCCAGAAACCCCTCCACCTATCTCCTTGAAACTTGGCAGGCTTCTCATGCCCTCAGAAGGAGCTACCATTCCTTCAATTTTCATCCAAATCAGCCAAGAAATGACAAAGTATAGGCATTTTCATAATTCCCCATTATAGCCTCTGGGCGAAACTTCGAAACGCATTGAAACAGTTTCAACAAAATGAAACGGAACAGTGCTTTGAAACTAAATGAAACGAAACACTATCCTTTTGAAACAGCAAAACGCAAGTCGAAATGAAAGGTGCTGTTTAGCACAGCCCTATTAATTTATTTTTCTTTCACCTCTCAGTTGACTAACAATCCTTTCCCTGTGGGGATGTTATGGCTAATAACAACTCAATGGATTTCTCCACTTCAATGAATGGAAATTTCAAGAATTTTCTTTCCCTTCCATGAAAAAGGAGTTTAAAACTCAATTATATTCGAATTCTAGTAGTACCTTCTCCACTGAACTGAATATCCTCTGAAAGGATGTGGCACTTCAAATGTCAGCTCCTACAAGAACAGGCCTCTGTAAGCAAAATACAATATGAAGCTCCACAAAGTAGCTGTCTAGATGCAAGTTTTTTAAAGTTAGGGAAAAGTTTTTATCCAGAAGTAGCTGAAGGGAAGGGGCCAGTTGTAAATCTAGGGAATGAAATGGCCACAAGCAGACATTATTTTTGTGAAACAAAAAGCTCCTTCAAAGAGACTTCCTCCATATAGCCAAACTCTGTACACTCTGTAACAGTTTCCTGAAAGACCCTCCAACCCTATAGCAAGTGCCCCCAGTTGTCAAACCCTCCTCTTCCCTCTATCATAGTTGAAAGAAAAAGAGCCCTGCTTCTTTGTATTAACATCTGATTATCTGAGTCACCCTCCTGTTTAGAAAAGCTGGTAAAGCCATATTTCCCACTCCAGTGAGCAGAGATGGCAATCACAGAAAGAGGCACATGCTGAATTACTAAAAAGGGGCAACAGCTATTACTTGCTAGAAACTAATCTGTACTTAGTAAAAGTTTCCTCCATGATGCACAATCCTGTGCACTTTGAGACACCATACCTATGCACTTCACCATAATTAGGATGTAGTATAAAAGTATTCTTCTTACTTGGACAGGTTGGAAAAAGTCAATAAAATATACCTGCTTAAATACAAAGATATTCTATTGTATCAAGAAATTCCTACTTTTGTGCAGATGGTTTTCATGCTGTGCAGTCTATCAAGTGACTCTTGGGGATTTCCTAGGTATTGAGGAAGTTCAGCATGTAAAATCCGCATGGAAAAAGGAACCATGGAACCTAGAAGAAAAAATAATTGATATGAAATATCACTGCCTGAATTATCAGTAAATAATTTTTCCTATTATCTAACCTAGGGTCCCTCTACACGTGTGTAAAGCATGGTTGACTGGTGCCTCCTGAAGCAGTGGGGGATGGGGGGGAACAGTTTGTAGGTGGCAGTGTTGGCAGTGGGGTGGCGAGTGGTGACCACCTGCAGAAGCCGGTGGCAGCATCAGCAGCAGGGGTGGAGGGGTGGTGAGCAGTGACTGCCTGCAGAAGCCAGTGGTGGCAGCAGTGGAGGGGGGGGTATGACGAGCAGTGACTGCCTGCAGAAGCCAGCAGCAGTGGCCAATCTAATGGGGGGCAAGTGCTCCCCCGTATCCTCTCCCTACCAGTCACGTATGGTGTAAAGGCACGATGGGATCTAATGCACAATCCA